GGGGTTGGGTAAAAGGCCCCCTCCCCTGGCTAAGAGCAATAAGAGCCCCCCTGAATTTAATGCAACCTTGATAAGATCCACTAGACTTCGATTCATGCATCCAAGAATTTCGGTTAGGTGTACAGAAGCCTTCGGCACGATGAGCCGAAGTTCGGTTCCCCGGACCGAGAACTTCGTGCTGACAACCGAAAAATTTCGGCTCGTTCTACCGAAGAACTGGAGTTCAGTGAACTGCTATAATTGGTGTTCCATATGAACCAATCATAGCGGCACAGGCAACCGAAGTTCGGTAGCTGACGCCGAACTGTTTTTCTCCGTGCACTCACCTGCATCTCCGTTTACTTCACTGAAAGGACGTTTTCGCTTGCCTCCTTCCATAATTGTGGCGAGTTTTCTACAACTGTATTACTCCTGTAATCAAAGGAAGACCAATTTCATAACCTGCTTTAACTGAATTTCACAATTAGCTATGAATAATAGGATAAATATTTTGTGCTAACTTAAGGGTTAACACGAAGGAGATACTAATTGGTTCTAGTCGTTTTAGTTACAACTTTATTTACATACGTAATTATTTGTCCTTCTCTACTAAGTTTATTCATGATTTCACTCATGCACCTCGTTACATAAACACCTCAAACCTCAAAATGCGCAGTAACCTAACAAGTGAACGCAAAGCACATGCCCTTATCTCGGGGGCAATACGATGATACGAAAGATAAAGACCAATTCACACAAGCAAATCATTGCGCATCTCTTTTAGATCCATTCCCCGCTTGGTCATAACGAGGTGGAGAAATAGCGCTGGGTCCACACCATCTCGCGGGGAATCAAAGCCAAGAATTACCAAAAATCAAAATTAGAGTCAAAAATAATCTAATTTTTTGTATTTAATTAATCTTTGGTAATTCTTTGCTCTGTTTCTCCGCGAAATGGTGTGGGCCCAGCGCTATTTCTCCACCTCGTTACATACAATTCGGGCCACTTCTTAGTGTTTAATTTTTTCACTTGGTCATAACTCGGCGCCATCCATTGCTACGTCACATTCGGTACCCCTATAGCCCCAACGCATCATAATAAAATTATAACTCAAGCCCTTAATGCATACCGTAACTGTGCAGACAAACTTCTCATGTTCCTTTCTTGCGGTTATTCAGGGATTGGAAAAAAATTACACGCACTTCGACTTTTCATGGCTTTCTCTTGGTCATAACTCGGCGCCATCCATTGCTACGTCACATTCGGTAGCCCCATAGCCTCAACGCATCACAATAAAATTAAAACTCGGGCCTTTAATGCGCACCGTAACTGTGCCAAGAAACTTTACATGTTCCTTTTTTTGCGGTTATTCAGGGATTGGAAAAAAAAATTATACGCACTTCGACTCTTCATGGCTTTTTCTTGGTTATAACTCGGCGCCATCCATTGCTACGTCACATTCGGTACCCCCATAGCCTCAACGCATCATAATAAAATTAAAACTCGGGCCTTTAATGCGCACCGTAACTGTGCAGAGAAATTTGACATGTTCCTTTTTTGCGGTTATTCAGGGATTGGAAAAAAATTACACGCACTTCGACTTTTCATGGCTTTCTCTTGGTCATAACTCGGCGCCATCCATTGCTACGTCACGTTCGGTACCTCCATAGCCACAACGCATCATACTAAATTTATAACTCGGGCCCTCAATGCGTAACTGTGCAGAGAAACTTCACATGTTCCTTTTTTGCGGTTATTCAGGGATTGGAAAAAAATTACACGCACTTCGACTTTTCATGGCTGCTCGCAGGCGCTCAAGAAAACGCCACGAATCAAGGTGTTAATTTGCAACAAGAATTTACCAGCGTGTTCAAGTGGATTCCGTTTTGGGAAGTGTATGCTGGAATGGTGCGGCACATGTTCGGCAGCGACACGATGAAGCATTTTTTCAAGTGAGTGATACCTAACAATTGATATCTGTTAATCAATCCAATAGGTATAATTACCTTACACGGAGAAATAAACCTCGTGCGTGGGACCCGAAGTTTGGGTGATATGGATCTCTGAAGTTTTCGGATTGAGCATCTGACCACTTTAGGTCTAGCTGTTGAGGTTCGGATCACACATCTGAGACTCCAGTTCTTACATCTGAATCGAAGTTTTTCGGATACGAGTACCGAAGGAGTTTGGATGTGAAAATCGAAGTACCTCAGATGTAAGAACTGAAGTTTCAGATGTGTGATCCAAACCTCAGCAGCTAGACCTCAAGTGTTCAGATGCTCAATCCGAAAACTTCAGAGATCCATATCAACTAAACTTCGGGTCCCACGCGCGAAGTTTTTTTTTCTCCGTGTATGATGATTTGTTCGTTTCGGTTTTGGTTTATGTTCATTTCTAACATTTCATCTCATCTTCTAAATCTTCACGACGAGCTCGCAGTCCTATGTCTTGTCCCGGCTGCTCAAACCGACCGCGCGTTCGGAGTTCACAGTGGCCATGGGTAAAAATTTTGAGGAACCCGTTTAGCAAAACGGAATCGATGGGCCGATGATTGAAATTGAGGCGTTATTTGCAGAAGCGCCGTATGAAGGAATTTTAAGTTTCGGGAAAATGGATCGTGGCACCCCTGGTCCCTGGTGAATAGCACCCTTTTCGATGTCGATGCGAAGAAAATATGGTTGGATTTATGTATTGCTTGTCTGATGACACTTAATTTTCCCGTTGTGAACTCAATTTTCGAAAGAGTATGTTTCTGGAACCAATGCTCCGATTTCAGAAACCGTGAATAGAGTACCCTTTTCGATGTCGATGTCGAAGAAAGTATGGTTGGATTTATGTATTGCTTTTCTGATGACACATGATTTTCCCGTTGTGAACTCAATTTTCGAAAGCGTATGTTTTTGGAACCAATGCTTCGATTTCAGAAACCTGAAGTTTTTTAGGAAGAGCAAACTATTGCAAATCATCGTGCAACATTTCAGAGAGCTGGTGCGTGAGCGGCGGCCTCAGGGCGATGATGACTCACGGCGGATTTTTGAAGGCGCTGTGATTTTTCGGGCGGAGACATTTTTCTCGGTGGAGCTGCTGTCCATTTTTTGTTTTCGACCCGCAGATGCCGGGAGGTGATCGTGTGGGTCAGCCGATCGTCGCTTAGGTTGTTTTGCCGGTTTCAGTGGAATTGGCTCGATCAGTTGTGCCAACCTATTCGGTCTAGTTTGGGTTCGTGTAGCAAAGTTGTCTGGGAGCTCCTCGGCGGGTTCGAAGTTCAATAGAGTTGACAAAATGTCCATAGTGCTCCAAAAAAATTGACTTGTCTTCACGAAAGGTTACAGGTTTTTTACAGGTACAATTTTTTTGCGCGCGCAAAATCTTTCAAATTATACGTCACTTCTTCAGTGATCGATTAATTCTCGTACCTACATTCTGTTTAAAATGAAATATCTGGAATCGTTTGAAGCAGTAAAACAAAACAAAAAATTCAAACGGCTGTTAGATTACCATACATTTATTGACAAAAAAGACAAAATAACTTAATTTTCGTCCAGCTCCTCGCTGCCTCAGTCACTAGTGTTTTCAGCTGGTGCAGACCTCTCGAAGACGTCTTCGAACCGAACTCGCGGTCCATCATCAATGTTTTCAAATTAACTAGGGACGTCTGTTTCTTCAGCTTAAGCCCAAACATAAATCGCGTTAAGCCCTACTTTCAAAACAATTAAGTAATGTCTTTCCCAAGGTCCCCCTAAATTTCCCAGGACCATTTGGCAAGCCTGCATGGATCCGGAAAATCCAAAGTGAAGTTTTCTGTCTTCTATAGTATCAATGCTTCAAAAAATTTAAAAGTGTCAACTGGAACCTTTTTATTAAATATGGATATGAAAGGATTCCAAGGAACTGAGTCAAATAAAGGAAATTGAGATGAAGGAATATTTTATAGTAGAGCAAGCACAGTCGTTTGGAAGCACCTGCCACTTGGTCGGTTTTTATACATGGTGTAAATGAAAGAAGCAAAATGGGGTAAAAGGCCGTAGCTGAAATGGGGTAAAAGGCCTCCGTGCATTCTTATGCAGAAATTGTAAAATCGTCATTTTATAGCGATATCAGGACCTTATACACAGAATTAAGTCTCTGAAAACACTAATTTCAAAGTGTTGATTTCCCACATTGTAGTTTTACCGTCACTTTACTATTGTTTCTTATGGCGCGGTCTTTTTTTTTTGGGGGGGGGGGGCAAAAGGCTGCACTTGGATTTTTTTTCTAAAAATTAACTGCGATCTCATAAGTTGATTTCAAAATTGGTACTTTTATGCCGGAGTGGTTATACTATACATTTTACCACTTTTCCGAAATTTAAAGAGAGATGAATCCCAGTCTCGAGTTTAAACTGCATTCAGAGAGGAACTGACCATGAGTCGATTAAAAGAAATTGATATGAAGGAATATTTCAAAGCAAAGCTAGAAATATTTTGTGAAAAAATGTAATTTTCAGGATGAAGTTGAAAATAACAGCTAATACTTTTATCTGACCGTGAGAGGCCTGCATAATAATGAAGTTCATAATTTTGTCATTTAACCATGTTTTTCGTGTGAGTGTCAAGATTGTATCCTTCTTCGTTATTTTTAGATTGCATATGAACGCCTCTTCATCTACGTTCTCTGATAGCCGTGGATGGACGATAGACGCTCCCGCTCTTCTTCAGCTTTAGTCCAAACATAAATCGCGTTAGACCTTACTTTCAAAGCAATTAAGTAATGTCTCTCCTGCAGGGACTCTTGCTCGTTTTCCTCCCATGCCAAGTATTCCACGGATTTCGCATGCGCTGAAATAATGTCCTCTCTTCTGCCCGGTCTTTCGTACAGGTCCGCGTTTAACCTGCACAGGTTGCACATGAACGCCTCTTCATCTACGCTCTGATACGCGTTGAAAATCTATGATTCATTGAAATACCATTTAGAACAACACATAAGGCCTATCCATTGTTTTCCTCTTTTGTCGCGTTCTTGAAGCATGCTACGCGTACACAATTGAGCCCTTTTGAATGATTCATCCTTGTCTTCGAGAGATACCGACGGTACTCGTCCAGATTTATCGTCATTTCGTTTCCTCTTTGTTTGAGGAAGCATTGCACAAAGTATATGACAGAGACATCGCAATTACAGTTGTCATATTAAGTATATTGAAATCACACCAAAAACACTTCCGTGTAAAAATGACCCGCCAAGCTAAAAATATAAATATTCGTCGCCTCAAAAGGCAATGATATCAAATGAAGTAGACGCCAAGCAAATTTCCTGAATATAAATTGTAAGTTTCTCCTCCCTTCAACATTATTACCGGAAAAACGAAAATTATAGACAAAAAAAAATAATTTAAAAAAGGGATACAAATTTATCACCTTTTTTTGTAGTACAATTGTACAAAAAAAATGATAAATTTGTATCGGTTTTTTTAAATTATTTTTTTTTGTCTATAATTTTCGTTTTTCCGGTAATAATGTTGAAGGGAGGAGAAACTTACAATTTATATTCAGGAAATTTGCTTGGCGTCTACTTCATTTGATATCATTGCCTTTTGAGGCGACGAATATTTATATTTTTAGCTTGGCGGGTCATTTTTACACGGAAGTGTTTTTGGTGTGAT